TTGCAATTAAAGCTTATTTTTAAAACATTGGACGGTTTGAGATCTTTTAAGATCACAAGGTAAACTATTCCAAGCCACCGCACCCCTGTAACTAAATGACTTTTTCTTGAAATTAGTGTTTGGTTTAGGTGAAAAATAATTTGCACCTGTCTCGTTTCGTAATTGTGTATGTCATCCGTTCTTTTAAATAAATTTGATATGGAGCGAGGAACCATTAAATTTCTAACTTTGAACATTAGTGTAGCAAGTTGTTGGTTCCTACGAGTCTCCAGATTGTCAAGGTTTAGGTGTTGTAGTATAGAACACAGGAGCGGACATCATATCCACACCTATCTATACATTTATCAGATAGTGTGGAACCGATGCCGCCCCATAACTGTGAACAATAATCAAATCAAACTATAGAGAAACTGCTTGCAAATTTCCTATAAGGGCTAAGTACATGTACATAAAACAAATGCTGCATGAAAAACGAAGGGAAAAAAGAAACTTTGTGATTAGGTAATAGCTACATGCGCGGGTGAAAATACAAAGAAATCAACATGAACGAACGACTTCAGAATACGTTTGTTTAAAAACAGAATTGTTTATCGGAACTTTAGTATTGAAGTAGTATTAAAGTTAATTAGAAAGTATACGTACCAATGTTTTTTATGCTGTTACAACTTACAATGGAAGTAGCGTGAGGTGGTTTCTAAAAAAAAAACCGAAACCGGTTTTTTAAAAAAATACGTTCGAAAATCGAAACTACAGTAAAAAGGCACAACACGCTACTCACTCAATACTCACGCAAGATATTAAACGTAAGATATTTTGAAGACTTTATATGTTGAAGAGTTTAGCTTTTCGTGTGTAAATGCCAAAACTGGATTCATCTGCAACAAACTCGTATAAGTATGGTTCCATTTTAGTAAAATACCGATTTTTTTCGTTTTTCCTCAGTTTTTCCAGTTTTTCTTCAAAAGTACCATCGAGCATTTCAGTTTTCAAAAAACATCGTTTTTTTTCGGTTTACCGAAAAACCGCCTCACCCCAAATGGAAGTGTATGTTTTCTAACTTGACCTTGCCCGTTATATAAATTCTTGACATCACAAATACCTAATCGAATAACTGCCTTGTTCTACCTTGTATTATGTGAGTGATAAAAATCATGTGTCAGAACATGATTTGGTCATTTGTTGTTTTCGTGTTGTGTACTCAGGTGAGTAAGATGCTTGTGATAACATCACAAGCATGATTTGGTTAGTTCAAACTAAATTACGTAGCAACTACTGCAGCAATTCAATTTAATCACAATCGTCGTAAAATAGTTCTTCGAAGTGATAAATTGTGTCACGATTGCCCACGCTACTTGCTTTCTATTTATGACTATGTCTATGGCTATGTTAATAAAAAATGATTTAGTTGTAAATATTTAATGCATCTGGTTAACTTCTGTTATTATTATTATTCCAAGGCTTTTTTCCAAAGGTACCATTGACCTCGATAATAGACCCAGCGCCAACTGCCGTGGCCAACCTTGCTTTACCAACAAGAGGCCTCATCAAATGTTTCTTTTCGCGCAACGTCAAAGGAAAATTTCTGTCATCGACACCCTTCGGCTAGTTCAATATATTGTTGTTAGGAATACATAAACACATCCTGTATATGGGATAGTCTTCGAATATCCCCTGCGGCGTGTCCGCAGACAGACGTCAGAACCGATAGGAAACGCAGTATTATATAATAAGACTTGCTGAAAAAAATATGCTTGTTATCGCAAAAACAGATAAAAAAAACTTGCATCTATTAAAATATTTTTCTATGTTTCTTTACTTTCTATTATTAACATATATTTTTCGATAACATTGCATTTCATGAAAATGAGGGCAAATAAATAAAACAGCGGCACTGCAAAGAAACTTGAGTATTTGACATGCAAGACAGGTGCGCAAGGGACCACGCGGGCGGCGTGAAACGTGTGTCATAAAGCTTCAAGCGCTCGAGATGGCTAGTCCTATGAAATCGTTGTCCGTTCGTAGCAACACTGAAGGAAAATTAAGTTTGCATGTTAAGACTGGTGAAAATCGGTACAAAAGTATCGCCAATTTCGCGTTCAACATTGTTTGTTTTGTTGACTTTGGGAAAAGATACCAACATCTGAATGGTTACATCTTTGATGTCACAAGGGTAGATGAGCAAACAATGTAAGTATGGTGTTTTGATGTCATATTTAAGTAGCGTATATTGTAGCCGCACTCTGAATTAATAAAATGTAAGCTAGCGTGGCATGACTTTGTATTCACGCGAGGTTTTACCATTGAGAGCGAAATATTATCGTCTTCTCTCATAGTCAGTGCAATGATCTTTATTCCAGGCAATGTTTCGTCGCAACTATTTGCATGAAAAAACCGGGCACTAGTGTTTCGCAATTCGCAAATTTCACTGACAAGAAGATGACGAGGTGGTTAAAGAAAAGAAACGTATTTGGAGCCGGCACTGGCTTCTAGAGAGAAAAAACAAAGGTTATTTCGGTCAGCTTCTTCCCGATCTGGCTGCCCACGACACACCAGCATTTGAAAAATTTATGCGAATGGATTTTGATCATTTCAAAAAGATAGTTGATAATCTATCTGAAAAGCTTTACAAGAAAGACACAATAATGCGTGAATCAATCAAGCCAGCAGAAATGTGTTGTTTAATTAACGCTTCGATATTTAGCAGCGCTAGAGCACGCTGTCCGTACAGAAGCGAATTTCATTGGCTATCTTAAAATAGCCCATGCGTTTCCTGCTCAAACAATGCCTGGGTAATTCGATATTTTCGGCAATCGTTGCCGAAAGTTCAAGCATTTCAACTTTCCGCAACGATTGCCAAGAATATCGGGTTGCAATTGCGTTACCGCGCCAGATATGTTACACGGGCAATTTCATGACTTGCGCGAGTAACGCAATGAAATTTTACCCGTTGCGTTGCGTTGCCGGCGCGAGAAAAAAATCGCACGTGTAACTGGACCTTAATGCAATCAATATGGCGTCGTATATAATCGTTTGGAGTTCGGTTCGATATCATCCTTCGAGGGTGTTAAAACATGTTTTCCACTTTCCTTTTCAGGCGTACTTGAGTCTCCTGGAATGAATCCAATATCAATATCTTCTTCTGTCCATTGAAAAATTGCAAATGAATATAAATGGATATAACCTATCTAATATCCTCTAAATTGCAACATTTCTTTATAAAAATGACTCTACTGACCTTCGATACTCAGATTATGAAGATTTATTTCAATTTCTTCCACATTTCCGTTTCATTTCAAGTTTAAAAAGATGTCAAACAAAAGTTTGTTCGGAAACCATACTATTTTGCATCACGTGGCAGAGCCTCCTCGCTTTCATTTCAATCTTCCCATCACTCCGCGCGCGCTCACTTTTATCCAGGAAACTTCATGTAGATTATTTGTAAATACTTAAGGGAGGCTCTGCGGAGGAGAGAGAGGACAATGCTGTTTACTTCTTGATCATATAGACAATCTTTTTTATTACACCCGTTTTCAAAATTACGCGACCTCCCTGAAAAATACTCTTACTTCAAATGTCAGTTTTATGTCACAAGAACTGCTAAAAATAGCAAACGTAAACAAACTGTCAAAAGACATTCTAAACCGTATTTAATACCAAAACTGAACAAAAATGAGTTAGATAACTTAGATATACAAACTAAAGCACAATACAAGCCATCACAACAGAAATATGTGCCGTGAATAACTTTTAAAGTTTGAAAAATAACACTCGAATCTAGCTGTCAGTATAAACACGCGCGTTAGACTATAACGGTGATGTTATGATTTTGTCCTGCTTAAATTTTGCAATAATTCTCACTAAAATATCTTAAAAATCATTGTAAGCCTGCTTATATAAAGCATACAAAGCATATACCATCGACAAGGAACCGCAAAACTCAAAGTTTGAACTTCGTGGCCGAATGACATAAACCTGACATGTCAACTCTAGCATTTCCGTCCTTGGTCGCGTAATTTTGAAAACGGGTGTAAAATGTTTTGTTAACAAACTGTACGTAAAAAAGATGAATCTAGGTGTTCTCGCTTAGGCAAATATATTTTTGCAAGATGTACAGTAATATCGTGCCATAAATCCATTTTGAATATTATAACAGAGATCGCTAACCGCAAACGGGGAACTTCATATCGTATTTTGAGGTCAACTCTAAATTTTATAGTTGTTCGACGTAACTATAGCATTTTAGTATAAATTTCCAGGTGACTATTGATTTTTCTGCATTCTGATTGGTCAAGATTCACTGTCTCTGAAGTGATAGTCACTGGTCAGTGACTATAGCTTTTTTTTCAAAATGGCTGCTCGTTTTGCCGTAGTAACAGAGGAGGAAATTGCCAAAATTAAAGAAGATAGCATTCCGAAAAAACCCAAACAAGCTATAAAATATGGTTTTAAAATATTTCAAGGTAAACTATTAAACTTTACGTGCTTTTATTTGAAAATACATTGATTTGAAGTGAATTTTTATAAAGTTGTGTGGATTATTGTTTGTAAACATCTGGAAATTTATACTAAAACAATTAGTCGCCTCAGGCTCGGTGATTACAAGCCTATATTCACTTCGCCTTCGGCTCAGTGAATATAGGCTTGTAATCACCTCGCCTTCGGCGACTAATTGTTAAATAGGGCAATTTGTGTATTAAAATTGAAGCATTGAACCATTTATTTTTAAACTAAAAAATCAGCCCAATGAGTTTGAAAAACGTAGCGTAGCGATAGTCAGAATACGAAGTCCTAAGTCCTAAAGACTTCATACTAAGCACGATGTACGCCAGAATTGACAATATTTGAGAGAAATGCGACTGAAAGTCAGAAAGTTATTTGACATGTATAAAACTTACGCCGAGGCAAGAAAGATACAAATGAATACAGCTTAAACAAATATTGTAAAGGAACTAACATCTCACTTCTTCTAACATCTCATTCCTAAGAACCTTTGAAATGATATTGTAACTTATTTGAAGATTTTTGTTTGCACACTTTGTCTCTGAATTATTTCAGTTTTATTGATATGCAAATGTCCGGAATTTACGTCGCATATGAATAATGACTGATCAATTAAAGAATGTAAGGTACAGATTACAGTTAAATATCATGAAATAAAAAGGCTAAATGGTGTTTTACATAGGTATGTAATCCTCCCACAACTCCAAACTTCATTTTAATGAATTAAACTCGATAGTGAATACGATATACAGTCAAGCTTTTACTTTAAATCATTAATATGCATTTGTGACGTAAATTGCGGATATTTGCATAACAAACAAACTGAAATATCTCAGAAACAAAGTGAGCAAACGAAAATCTTCAAAATAAGTTATTATATCATTTCAGACGTTCTTAAGAATGAAATGATAAAAATAATCGAGGTTAGATGCACTGTCTAGTCTTTAACTTAAAAGAAGAGAAGGTTTAACTGCAGCAGTGAAAACAAGTTACGAATATATATTGATATGATTTGTCTCATGCATTTTTCACTGTTATAAATATTGTAAACAAAGTCAAACTCTGTGTTTAAAAACACATTTTCAAGCATATTTTCGTGAGACGACCAGAAAAATACAAAAATTTAAAACAGCATACCTTTTTCATTTTCCTTTTAGTAGAAAAGTGACATTCGTAACATGTACATTTTTGCTGAAACTGTATGTCTTTTTACGTGTTTCTTGCCAATTTTCTTGAGTTTTCATATTGATTTCGTGTTTATCTTTCAAATTTTTGTCAGCCTCGCTATAATACACAACCGCACTGATCTCAAATAGTTTGCATGCAAGACCTCGGGCGCAGTTTTTCTCATCCGGACCCCGCAGCCGGTAAATAACATATATGTACTTAAAGCCTGCCGCACACGAGAGAACATAGCTCAGCTATGCATTTTCACCGCCGCACACGTTGGGAAAACTACTCAACCGAGCAACGTCGTTGATAAGATCGTTTACATTTTCCTCCAATTTTAACCAAGTCACGTGAAGAAACTTCGGGTTCTCATTGGCTAGTTAATTCAAGCAGCTCAGCACTAAGCTCGCAACATCCGCAGACGTTAGATTTTTTACTCGCGAGGTGAAAAGTATCAAACACAACAGATATTTTCCTCAAGGCCACGAGAGGTTAAATCTTCATGAAAATTATCCGTTAAATCTTCACGAGAAAAACATGCTGAGCTAGCCTCCACGCGAGGCGGTTAACTCGGCATGTTTCTTTCGTGTGCGGCAGGCTTAACTGTCGAAATCTTTTACAGCTTTCCTTCAATTGGTGCGATTTGAGTTTGCCGGTTTTCCGTAAACATCATTCTTTATTTTATGTATTAAAAATGTTAATTGAATGTTTAAAACATCAGATGTCACTGGTTTTAATTCTCACTTTTAGAAACTTGGCTGGTAGGCTAAATGATGACGCTGTGAAAGAGCTAAAAATCTTTATTGACAATCAAACCAAGACAAGAAAACCGGTATATAAATATTGAGTTTTTTGACAGTGTTATTTGCATGTGTACCTTTAAGTCTTTATCATGTTCCTTTGTGAGTTTGTGGCACAGTTTATCCTTCATTGTCAATCATGCGGTTTTGTTAAAAGTTGCCTGCAGTTAGAGGGAAACAACCGTAACAAATGTGTAACAAAGAATGTTGCAATTATCGATCGTACCATGCATAATTTATAATAGCTTTGAAATTCAACTCTGATAAATGAACGATTCATTGCTACTGTTTATCAATGGACCATTTGCATTATAGACTAAATTTTGATCTAAACAAAAATTTCATCACAGCTTGAAAGAGCATCGCAAAATTAGTAATATTCCAAAGTTTCGTTGCGAATTGTTGTAAAATGCGGATAATATAGCCTTTCGAAGTTTGCCGTTTTTCAGTCATTTTGTATTACGCACGGGAAATTGACAGCCCAATCGGGTGTTGGGGCATCAATTTCCCGTTTGTAATACAAAATGACTGAAAATTGCAAATTTCGCAAGGCTATATTATCCGCATTTTACAACATTTGGCAACGAAACTTTGGAATATTGCTAATTTTGTGATGCTCTTTCAAGCTGTGATGAAATTTTTGTCTAGACCAAAATTTAGTCTATAATGCAAATGGTCCATTGGTTCAATTTAATTACTGTATTTATTTAAATGTTGTTACAGCAAAATATACAGACATCAGTGCATGCATATAAATCTTGAGCTCCATAGAGGGTGTACTTATTTTAGTTCAGTTTTAGCTTAGTTTTTTAATGTGTTATACATGAGTTACAATTTGTGTTTTCTTGTTAGGTTGAACAGCAAGTTGAGAAATCAATGAAATTATATAGTGATAAGAGAACCGACGAACAAAAAGTATGTTCAAGATGTTGCAGTGCTTAAACCTTTAGTGATATCAGGCTGTCGTAACGGCCTTTATCTGTCCCTTTTGATTTTAATGCTGAGGTTTCTTCTTTTCTTAAAGTAGCTAGCACCAGTGTGTGTGATATTATTAATATTGCCCAGGGTATATTAACGCAGCAAGGATGTGCATAATTAACGCAGCAAGGATGTGCATAGTTTATCGCATAGTTTATCGCATAGTTTATCGCATAGTTTATCGCAAATTTAGGATACCAATAATATCACATCCCCAAATTTCACTCCTTAAACGTTTAAAGGCTTTAATGGTTGAAAAATCTTATTATTTGTTAATCAGCTAGTTTCAGACACTTTTGGCAATATTGGAGGGCAACTACCCCCTGCGCCCCTCCTTCCCAGTGTGTACCACTGTGCCTTGTTCGTTTTGTCGGGTGCTGCACATTGTGCAGATTAAAGAAAAATACAGGCATGCATGATTTGTCCCCAGGGCCCCCAGGACCACATTAGAACGGACGATCGGTCGAATGGATTATGAACTACCTCTTAGATGTTTTATCTTCTCTGAAGTCAGTGATCCTGCAATCCCAATTCTCTAATTTAGGCAAAGAAAAATTCTCATTTAAAAGCTCGTGATAATGAAAGCTCGATTGAACAATACGAAGAGGCGAAAAGTGGCAAAAAGAAAGCAAATTCCGAGAAAGAGTTATCAAAGGTAAAATTTTAGCGAGATTAATTTACAATGAGCATATCATATTTTTAAATACAATAGACTACTGGGTAACTGGTGAATAGTAATATTTATAACAAATTCCCAACCCTTTTTACTGTTTCTTTTTCTAGACCGGTCAACAATCGAATGTTTACCGGAAAATCAATATCCGATTGTTTATCGCACACCGATCAGTCTGTATGTTTACCGAAAAACGGTCAACATTCGAATGATATAGTACATATATACTTGTGTTAAACATTTTTTATTCATAGCACTTAGATATAGATATCTGGTAACTTGCCTGTAATAAAAAACTCTGTGTTTATGTTTTTGAACACAAAATTGTCTTTTCACTCGTGTAGCTCGAAACAAAATGCAAGAAAGCAGCCAGTAGCATAGAGAAAGCCGGTGAGTTAACGCATTGTTCATTTCAGTTATTCACAATTCTTCCCTGATTGCAATCTGACATTGCTCAATCATGTCTTGTGTTCTATTTAATATATGCTCAAATGTTTATTAAATGTTTATCAAATATATTTTCCCTTTGATTCATTGTGCATTTAATCAATACGAGACGTTATACCACTGGCCATCCAAATTGCCTGCTTACTCGATACTAGTATCTTGCCACCGTCAGAGCCTACACACAGACAAGACGTTTGACGCAGTTAGCAATCTCGCACCAGGCTCTCTCTATATATAATCTACGCTTATCTTCTCGTTAAGATTCTCTCGTTCATTTTCCTCGCCCGTCACTGTTGTTTGTGTATTTTATTTCTTGGTTGTTCTTCCTATCCACTTGATTGCCATGTTTGCTTTACTATTTACAGATCGAGATTATAAAGATCTTAATTTAAAAGCGGAAAGGGGACGTATTGAACTGGCGTCTGCTATCCGTAGGTTTTCTCAGGTACCGGTATACATGTCTTTGCTTCGTCACTCTCCGACCCTTATGAAATGGTCCTTCGAAAGCTTTATATTAAGGCTTCAAGGTAGACTATAAAAACACACAGAATACAATATAATTCAAGCTGAGAACTTGGTCTGCCAATATGTCAAACCAACCCAAGTTTTGATCAGACACTAATGATTTATAGGACTCCAAAAAGAAAAGTTGTAGAGTACATTGTATTGTAAATATTTTGCTTGCATCCGAAATTTGAGTATAAATTCAATAGTGTAGCAATTCATTTGATCAATATACCTCAATAGTACGACGTTTCAATCGAAAACGTTTGGTTTGTATAATTATATAACTACAGCTGTACTTTATAGCTATCTCAGCAGCATTAGCATGCATATTAGTATCAAGAGATTGCCTTTGCAAGAATGAGAGAGAAAGTATTCAAACTACAGCATAGCAAAATGGTCGGCCATAATGTTGGCGCAGAGCAATCAGTATAGACGGCCATATTTGCATGGCGTTTCGATCGGAGAATGGCCGATGGCCGACTGAACATAGCCTGTTCGCAGCCCCCACTTTCAACGACATTTCGGGCTGCGAGCAGGCTAACTGAACAATGAACGCTTCAAACACAACATCGTGGTATTAAAATTAAGTTTTTATATTAAAAGATCTGTGAAACAACTGAATGCGAGAGAGTACAGCATATAAAGGAATTGTTTATAAAGTACAGTGAAATGTTGGAAGGAGTTATTCCTCAAATGCAGCAGGTACTGGAAAAAATTGAATATGTTTCCTTGACATTATGATTTCTGATTAAGACAGCTAGACGTGTACTATAAATTTTGAGACCTTGCTGTATACATGCACACTATAAATTTTATGATCGTATACTACTATTCTTATAGAGTTATCAAAACGTCAAAGATGAGTCATCCAGAATAGAGCCTAGTGAAGATATCAACTCAGTGGCGGATCAAAGAGGGACAGAACGTGAGGCGGCAGAACAATTATTAACAGACTATTTTGTAAGTAGAAGCTCTTTTATCTCGTTCGTTTACAGTATGTCTCTACAGTATGTCATATCTTAAAATTTGTAATAACATATATTATTATATGGCAAGCATCACTTCCGGTGAAATGGCGGACTGTGATTGGCTGAGAAGCACTTTCAGCGGTCCATTATTTTCCCGTAATGGACCGGCGGTGCATTACGTAAAAACAAACGTATGCATTTTAAAACAAAACAGCAAAACTAATTGAAAATTAGAATTTAATTTGTTATTAAGATATCTGCGAATGGTTTCAAGTGGAAAGGAAGGAATACTTGGTGATTTTTGTTTTCTTCGACCAAATGTGTACCACGCTACTATAATATATGCATTTCAAATCGTGCATTTTTTGTTTGTTTCAAGTATATAAATGCTATATAAATGCCATATAATAAACTTTTTATTAACCTCGCTTGCTCTGTCTTTACAAAGAAATATCGGACCTCGGTCTTTTTGTACAAACCTCGCCCTACGGGCTCGGTCCGTACAAAAAAGACCTCGGTCCAATATTTCTCTGTAAAGACCTTGCGCTCGGTTAATAAGAAGTTATTAATACCACAGTAAGTAATACCACAAAGGGGTGTTTCCAGATACACATCCTTATTTTAGTTCATACAGTTAATATATCTGTTTCTTTTATGTTCTCAGCATGGAAATATATAATGTGCTTCAGCTTGTAGAGGGATTTTGACCTCTCACTGAAATATCATTGAAAATGTATGTGCCATTCATAATCATTTACTGATTTTCGAAAACACAGGAAGAAGATTTTCAGAATATGATTGCCGCGGACAGGAGGAAGCAACGGTTAGAAGAGAAAGTTAAGAATCTTTCGGTTGATTTGAAAAGAGAAATTAAAGCCAGAGAGGGTATGTGTATGTGCTGCAGGTGTCTTCACAGTTTACAAGAAATGTTCGAGAATACAGTATATCAGTAAAAGTGCCTAGTATATACTGCATGTATGTACGGCATAGCTCAGTATACATGTATAGGTTTATAATTCATTTGAGAAGGCTAGCAAATTGGCCTTGTTTCTGGCGTTTTCCTTAGGGACGGACCATTAGATATTTGATGGGGCAAATACCCCCAAAAAAATTCGTGCACAGAAAAAATCCAGAAAAAAATATCGTGCACAACAAACCTATTGAAAAAAATCGAGTAAGAACTAGGGATGATTTTTAAAATCGTAATGCTATTGTTTTAAAATATTAAAATGGTGTTTTACGACAATCGAAAAATTTATGCCTTCCCCCCGTCGAAGCAGCTGGGGGATGAAAAAAAAATCGTGCACAAAAAATTGCCCCCCCCCTCAAACATCTAATGGTCCGTCCCTTATTTAATAATTATCAATGTGTGAATTCTGAAAATTAGTATAAGAATGGAAATATAAGAAAAAAATACTCCAAATAATAATGCCACGCTGTAAAAACAAAGTGGTTAAAACAACCATCAAATTGGTTGTCACAGATTCATTTTGAATCAGAGATAACCAATTTATTGGTTGTGTTAAGTTTAACCACTTGGGCCCAGTTGTTCAAAGGTTGGTTAGCGCTAACCCTCGGTTAAAATTTAGCCAGCTGTTTTAGTTTGTGTATTTCTGCACATCTGTTTATTTCAAGACTTCAGAGAAGTAAACTCCTATCCATCCAGACAAGATCTCTGAAAAAAATATTTCCAAATTTATAAACAAGCTGTCAGGACGCTTGCTTTGAATTTTAGGTTAACATAGGGTTAAGCTAACCCAGTTTTGAACAACCGGCCCTTGGTTTTTACAGTGCATCTTGTAAAGGAAACAAGACACGTATTATGATGGTGATATTTCGACTCTATTTCAGGGTCATTGTCAAACCAAACTAATTATTTACAAACGTGCTCAGATCTTTTTCGGAGAAATAGGGAGATGACGTAATCAACTGGGACGGAAACAGAAATATGAGGCGCTGTATTTACACACAAATAAATTACGGAAAAACAGTTAGTCCTTTCGAAATATCACCACCTGCATAATTTATGTCTTGTTTTCTTTAAAGAACTCGCATCTTATATTTCTTAAAATTGTCTGCTGATAAAGGATTATTGTAAGAATAGACTGTCTAGAACATCGACAATTATACACTAAAATTTATTGCTCTTGTAGGGATCGAACATCTCTTTAATGTTTACGAATCAACGCCCAATTATACGAATGAAGAAGGACAGATGAATGTTGCTGACCAACTGGCTGCAGTGAGTAAATGTTATACTCATTCATTTCTGTATTTAATATGTTTAAATTAAAATCGGTTCCACTGAGGTGCATGCATGGGTGTCATGGAACTGAACTGCATGGAATAATATATCTGTCAGTTGCACGAATAGAGGGTTATGATATCTTAAAATTATTCTCAAACTCACTAATTCATGAGCAAAACAAACTATTGGAAACATTGGGCTAGTGTTCCAAAGGTCGTAGGTTCGATTCCCACCGTGGTCAGGCATAGTTTTCAAGCTTGCCCGGTGTGGATACACACTTAGAGTAACATCACAAGCATCAGCATGCACCTCATTGTCGTTTTGATGGAACAGTATAAAATGTCCATCAATTAACTCATATTAATTTGGCAGATATATATAACAAATTCGAAACCAGTTTATTATCGAAGTCGCTATAGAGTGGTAAATTGGTCTCTCGAGGTTTGCACGCGCGGGATTGATTATGTATACCACGTGATGAACTTTTGGGGGAAGATTGCTTAAATAACGTCATGACTAGTGTGGATGGTAAACATGCACAGTTCTAAAAAAGAACAGTATTAATGCTCAAGCATGTTTTAGAACGGCAAATCGAAGTGAAGAAAAATAATATCACACAAGACTTACAACTTCCTTTCTGTGCTTGTCTATAGTATTTACATTACCGAGCGTATTTATTATTGTAGCCTATAAATAGCCAAGCAAGAAAATCGAGTGAACAATCGCGTACTTTGTGTCAGTTCAAGAATGTTGTAGACTGCGCTTTCACAACTTGAAATATTGCTTTTAAAAAAATATTTCTTTTAAAAAAATATTGCTTTTAAAAATATTGCTTTTAAAGTGTTTTAAAGATAATTTCTCGATCATAAAAGGTTTAAAAGCGCCATTTGCAGTTGAACATCGGCGGATTATGTTCTTCACGAGGTGCCCAAAACGTTCATCACGTGGTATATAAAATCAATCCCGCGTGTGCAAATCTCGAGAGACCATTTCACGACTCTAGGATCTCGATAATATTACAGGAGTATAAGACACATTCCCATACCTGCTCCTCAAAGCATGTGGACAAACTCGGATAGCGCATCATTTTTTAACACACTTTTCATTATTTTATATTCCGGTACTGTACAATGAACGCTTTCTTGTTTATTATATATTACATAATAAATAATACACTCATCAATTCATTTGCTGTTGTTTACACTTAAGGCTGATGAAGTCATAAACAGTATTGACGGTAGTTTATACAAATTACAACATGCATTGGCTCAAGTCAATCGACAAGAAGCACCAAATCATAGATTATCATCCTATATTCAAATTTCGAAAGACAAACAGGTTTGTTAATTAATTAAGGAAAATAATAAAGTTGTACTGTTTGGGTTGAGGGTCTTACTGTGGATAGGATTGTATAGATTTTAGGACTATAGTGTTTCTGAATTTTCAGGGCGTTTACTGACTGTGCATGCATGCTATGTCGCCGAGCCAACGGCGCGGAACGCCGTTCCTGGCGTATATAAGTCCAGGGCAAGTGTACTAATTCCGCTCGGCTATTTACACCCGGGAAAAAGAAAGCATTAGCGAAATCTAAAGTTCATCAATAATCGCGTGGCTATGTTTCATCGTGTGTGGGTGGTGATCCTCACTGATCTCAAAATTATGGCTGTTTTCAGGAGTGTGATAAGCAAGATTTCAATTTTCAAAAAATATCTTTGGAAAATCGTTTCATACAACAAGCTTTCAAGCAATTTTTGTTTGAAGAAATAAGAAGAATTGAATTACTATCGGAAATTGTGGAATATAGGGCAAATTTACTTTGAATGTTTAATATTTATGAATTTTGTTGCTTTGATTTTTTTGCGTATTAAAAACAATGCACCGTTTCTTTTAAAGTATGTAGCTGTAAGTTTGGAATTACTGGATAATGGGTCGTTCCAGAAAAGATCCATACTCCCCCCCACAGAGAAAATTTCTGCCGTCCAGAGGGGGAGGGGAGAAAAAATTGTTTCTGATAACAGTAAATGTATTAGGACATCAGAAGGGGGTAGGGGGGTTAAATTCCTATTTCCTCCGTAGGGTGGTATGGATGTTTTCTGGAATGACCCAATTTGAACTTATTTTGTTGTATTAACAAAATTAAAAACAGTTTATCAGTAAAATTATCTTGCTTGACTGAATATTTCAAAACATTTTACGAAACATTATGCCATTTTTGCCATTTTATAAAAACAAAATTTAAAAATTTAAAATAATCGTGTTGCTATGGCAACACTTGACTGACTTGAGTTGACCACTGAGCTTTAGGGGCTGATTACATTGAGTTTTCAGCCCAGCCTGAACTGAGTTTAAATTTCCGTTCAAACCAAGGTGAAATCTCAGCCCGGGCTGAAACGATCAAGTCTCAAAATGGAGCTATTCCGCTTCTTCGAAGAATTTAAAATGTTGTTCATGTCTATAATTTGACTTCTGTGAGACTGTGGTTGCATTTAAAATTATATAATAACGTTAAGAATTCAAGCGCTCTCATTGGTCGAGAGCCATGATCTATTAGAGGACAGACGCACGGACTGATTACGGTCACAATTAAGGTAGCCAATATAGCATTCCTTATTTGTATATATCATGTACGCGTGATATTTGTAAAATTTCGACTTTTTCAAAATTCCAAATGTTTGGGTGGATAAAAAGTAAGCTATTTACCTTTTAATTCGGGTTTTTCTTTATTTTGCCATTGTCTGTTCAGTTGTACAGGGTGTATAAAAAAAAGCGCAATCCTCGACTGAAATGTAAATTGCTAAACAAATAATAGACGAAAACGTTAAAGTTTACATTCATTTTAAAGCGCAGCCATTCAGCTTTCTAACAGTGGGTTGTTTCTTAAATTTGACTCATTGGTTCGCGGGTAATAATACTTTACGTTATTGCGATTGGAGATTAAAAAAATTGAGATGGAATAACAAATCGTTCTCATGAAAATAAATGATTTTTTCATTAAAACAAAAAAATGTTGCATTTTATTAAATGGATTGTAACAATAAGTATAATTACGGCTTTTTTTCCACTATTTTTAACTCAGTTTGAAACTTCAAATGCGATATAATTTTGGCTTGGACCATCTAAGCTGACTGACATCAACTTGCTATAATTTCTGTTTACATTACATCGCAATTCGATGACACTCTGGCTCAGACACCAGAATGTTTTGACGATTTTTAGCATTCGTTTAGGATTTTCAAACAACCTGCATGGTCTCTTTTAAAATACTTTTAATTTGTTCTTACGTGGTTTTCAAGATGTAGTGACGACAACATTAAAGTTTAAAGAAGGAAATTCTAACATTTAAACCGACTAAACCTGATAACATAGCAGAGATAACATAGTAAACTTGCATAATTAAACAGCAACTAAAAATGATAGGTTTTACTAAATCTTTTCCTGTGCAATTATTACTAGCATTGGAGACAAGGATAATAGTTTGTTTGAAAGAGAAAAGAACAGGCTTTGAAGTAAGCCTAAAAGCGTTTAACTAGAAATAGTATTTCGAAAGTTATTAAGCACAAAAGATGAATTGCGTTTATTTTGATACACCCTGTAGATACACATGCAATATGACATAATGTAGGAAGAACAAAAAAGTCACCCACTCCCCTCGGCGGCTCGTGCGCCACTTTTTTGTTCTTCCTACTTTATGACGTCACACTGTGTGTCTATAACTGAACAGACAACGGCAAAATTTTATCTATTTGTTAAATAGAACAGACAGAAATAAAGTCACTTAAACGTTGTTTTTTCTCGGGCTGAAATTTCTCGTCGATTACATGACGATTTTTAGCCTGGGTAGCTTCAACCGGGCTGGAATTTCAGTCTGAGCTGAAACTCATCCCGGGCTGAAATTTCTGTCATGTAATCGCTTGCTGCATGTGTTTCAATAGAATTTTATCCTTAGGCCGGGCTGAAACCGCCCTCTTACAATACCAGTAATATGATGTTCGTGATGTTACTCTGAGTGTATAGACACTCAGAGTAACATGACAAACATCATATTCACCTTAGTACACAACACCAACACAGAAAAAAACAAACCAGTAATACGTGTATAACTCAGTGGAGTTGACTCACAATGCGTTTAATGTTGGCCAATACTTCATGATAAATCAATACTTATAATTGGAAAATATAGGAGAGGAGTTGCTGCATGCATGTATTTTTTTAGTAGTATATATACTGTACCCAGAAGAGCAAAAACCCTCGCCAACATTAGACTGCATATGCTTATTCATTCTATACGCTTCAGTACGACCAAATACAAGGCCAACACATGCGAAGCCGCATTGGAGGCATTGCAGTGGATATATGGCATGCATCGTTTTATATGAAATTAAAATATAAATTACGAAATGCATCTTTTCCCATATTCTTTAGGGGTTAGCAGTTAGTGTTTTGAAAATTCCACTTGGTGAAGTGACAAAGATGACGCGTGCCGATAGCAATGTTGATCAAGGCTATCCAAGTGGTATGTTTTTTGAAAGCTTACATTAAAAGGTTTTGATTTCATAAGATTATAAATAACTAACCTATCTTTTCATGGGCTGACCTATCTCAGTCTGTAGTTGGAAAAATTTTGCTCGATCTTGACTACCTCATGTAAACATACACCTCACTAAAATATAATTAATCTAATCAAAACTTGCAGAAATTAATTTATTTTAGACGCCGCTCTTCTGTCGTGTATATTAGGTTCGGCGCATGAAAAGTTCGCCGTCTAAACCGGACCGACGAAAAGAAACGCCCATATTTGCAAGTTAAACGTGATATCAGGACGGTGATTCTTTCTCCTCTCTCTTCCATAGAGGCGTCAATGTCAAAACGTGCTCTTTCAAAAATAATTGCCCTGCTCTTAGCCAATCAGAATTGAGTAATTTTTTAATCTATTTTATTACTATCTGAATAGACTAAATTTCAAGTTGAAATTGTGCTGTTTGTTTTTATAGATGATGAATTCGAGGAGGATTATACTTCGTCAGGTACATTTTGTTTATGTACTTCTTTAAACCTCTAAGAATCTTAATTAGGGGCCGATTACATGGAGAATTTTCAACCCCGGGGTTGAACTCAGCCCTGTTAACCGGGTTGAAATGTTTTTGCGATTACATGGACGATTTCAACCTCTGGTTGAAACGCTATACTATACGTTCTCGGCATCGATTCCCGGCCGGAAGTAAAAAAAGCCTTCATTTTGTTTTCTTGTAATAAATAGTCATTACCATGCATGCTCGAATAACTCATGATAATTCCTAGCTGAAGCAGGGTGGAAATTTCAACCCCGGGGTTGAACTCAGCCCTGGGTTGAAACATTTGTCATGTAATCGCGCGTTTGGTTTTGATAGAGTTTTGTATTACAGACAGGGCTGAAATTTTAACCCGGTAAACATGGCTGAGTTTAACCCCGGGGTTGAAAATGCTTCATGTAATCGGCCCCTAAATCTTATGATTTAGACCAACTGCTGAACAAATTTTTACGTGGTAGTAAAAGTTGGGCAGAGATTGCAAATTAAATCGAATATATTTACGGAATAGCAATATTTTCCAAAATTGTAACTTGTAGCCTACTGTAGGAAAGAAATTTTTTAGACATGTACATCGTTTGAAAAAAACCCTCGAAACTAAGACTTTGACCTGTTGTAGTATTCTTGTTAACACCAGAGACTACATTATGATTTTCAACAGCACTCGAAGGGAGGAAAGGCCTTGACTCTTAAGGCATGAACCACCAGAATAATATTTTTATTCTAGGGTCTCCTGAAAACGATTTTCTGCCTTTTAAGTGAGGTTTTTATCGTATTAAAACAAGAAAATACAATCACTACAGGGCCCATCCTAGATATCAGGAAAATAGCACTGATTACTAGTGTGTAAATAGAAATAACTTGGAATAGTAGCTGGTGTTTTTTTAAAAATGTGTCGGATATAAATAATACCAAATCTGATTAAATTAGTAAAATTTGTTTTATTTTATATAAGACTAGGCCACTGAACTATCCGATTTAAGATTATATTTTGTTAATTTAGGTTATATCGGTCAATGTATAGCGCAATATCACTACGACGGAACCCAAAGTGATGAACTGACTATAAGAGAGGGAGATGTTATAAATCTTTCCGAGAAACAAGACGATGATTGGTGGTTAGGTGAACTAAACGGTAGAACTGGGATATTTCCTGCAACGTATGTACAGGAAATGTGATGCGCTAAAAAATTATTAGAAAGATGAAAATTTTAGATTAGATAATATAATGTTTGCATCAAGCACTAACCGTATATATTCAGTGCCAAATTTTGTAACAAGTAGCACTATGCACTGTTCATAAAGATGGCGGCCAGAACGCAGATTTTGTTAGACTGTGCATTTGGCCTAGTAATGTATTTTCACCGAAGCCACTTAGGCATGTTATGGATACTGTATTTTGATACGTTATCTCAGATTGTTTCCATGAATTTATAGTCTACATGTAAATGATTTCTTTCCCCTATACCCGCCATAATCACAAAACACTTAAGTTGGTTCCCAATAGGTGATGTCCGCAAGTAATTTTATATGGACATTGCATGGTGAATTCCGTTGTATGACTCTATAAAATTAATGTAATCATGGAGACACGGAGTAGATTTAATCAATATAAGTTAAAAATCATAAACAGTCGTACACATATTGCGTTATCATGGAAACGATGATGTTCAAACTTAGCTTCTTTTTCAACAAACGATGGTTGACACTGACTTCAGATTCCATGCAAATTCCATGTTATGAAATTTTCCATTCCATTACTTTCTAAGCAAATTCCATGTTATGAAATATTTTGAAAATGTAATATGTTGTCAGGCTTAGAGTAAATTTACTGTACAAGTTTAAAAAATCACCGTAGCAAATCCCCGAAATTTTCATTTTTCTCCTCGCGTGGACGAAATATCGATTTCCAGCAATAGTTGAAGTTTATCACGCGAGCCGGACGCACGCGTGTTTATTTGTATGAACTCGGGACGAGTGCGTGGGCTGCCGCGTTGCTGATCACTAACTGATAACTAACTAATCAGTTTTCTTAGAAAATATCTATTGGGAGCCACCTTGGCAGTTTTTGCCGCCACGCACTAAATATTTAAATAACGTTTTTCATATATTGATAGATTATAAGCTCCACATAATAACTGTAAAATAAAAAAAAGAAAAGTAAAGAAATTAAATCGTTTTTGTGATGTTTTGTATTCCATCTTGAGCCCCCAGACCCCCTATACTGTTACACACGACACCACACCAAACCTTTTTTCACCAACATTCAACAATCATCTCTCCACACTCAGTATAGTATGTAGACTTTCCAATGTCCTTTCCAAACCCTTCTATGTTATGGTCCCTTTTTGTAGACCCCCCCCCTCGATCACAGATGATAGATTGTACGATGGACGAATTCTGAAAAAAGGCCTTGCTGGGAGCAGATTATTTTTTTTGGAGGAAGTGATGAACATTTCTTCAACGCAAACAATTTTTGGCTATTGTTTTTGGAGGTTAATTGCTACAAGTTTTTTTTTTGTTCAGCTAATAACAGCTTATTAAGTTTGCAAACTAAAAATGGAATTTTTTGTTCTTGTAGGTGCAAACTATTTGTTTAATTAGGGATTTATTTTGTGAAGAACAGTGGGGATGAATCAATAAAGCTAAAAGCAGTAATTGTAAACCCATTACAACCCAATACTTTATTGCATGGGTACAACATTGTTAAATCTATAAATTACAAAAACATTCTAACGACTTCTTATTTTATTATCAGTCAAATAATATATTTGCCAAATTTTCTGGTTCAAATATATTCATGTTAGTTGAAGTATCACTTGTGCCACTGATGAAGACAGAGATCCGCGGGCTCCAATTGCAATAAACATTTTAAAAACATGTAACAGCATGTTTTCGAATTCGTGAGCCGTGACCAAGTTTTATTTTAAATTTGCTTCAACTGGTGAAGGATTAAACTTTTAGCAATAACAAACACAAACACAACAGTTGATCAAACACAATAAAAGCGGTGTGATCATGGATGATAGGGTGTTATGGTATCCTGGTTACACTGATAAATTTGTCACGCTTGGTCATGGTCAGGATGTCAAATTATACAAGGTTGTCCGTGTTTCACAGGTAAATGTAATCGTGCTTTTTGTATTTATATAGTCTTCGGTTGTTATCATGCATTGCAGAATGCATGTAGTTTCTATTATGATATCAGACAGCTGTGTGACTAGCATCCCTCCCTTTCCATGTGTTAAAATGCAAATCCCAGGGCCGGTACATTCCAAGTCTGCCAACAAGTTGTCTTTGCACTGCTTGTTCCAAGTTGTCAACAAGTTTGGAAGAATCTGTTAACAACTTGTAACAAGCTTGATGACATTATCAGACTTGTTGCAAGGTTGTTCCAACAAGTCCGATGCAGTCGTGATATAACAATATTGTTACAACCTTGTGTTGTCAACCTTGTAACATTCTTGTTATACCATGACCAGGGCTCGAATTTTATCGCGGCAATTGCCGTAGAGGGAGAACAAAATGCCGTGGATCATTGCGGCAACTACGGCAATTTTTTGCCGTATAGTGCAATTTTTATCTTTGATACCTGAATTCAGATGTTGATCAAAACCTGTGTAAATCACTATTTTAGTCTCAAAATGCTGTGGAAAGTGCCAAAATTGCCGTAGACAGCTGTTACGTTCCACAGCAATTTTTAACGCCATTGCTGTCGATTGATTTCAGGGAAATTCGAGGCCTGACCATGACTGTATCAGACTTGTTAGAACAAACTTGTAACAAGTATGCTAATGCATCAAGCTTGTTCCAAGTTGTTAACAGCTTGTTCCAAACTTGTTACAACAACTGGGAACAAGCAGTGCGAAGACAACTTGTCGACAGCTTGTGAACAGATTTGTAACAACTTGTTTGCAGACTTGTAACGACTTGTGCGTTTTTACGTGTGTAACTCTATGCCAGAGATACCTCAATTTTGCCCTTGATCACGCCAATATTTCAAAACATTTTACTTTTGGGGACTAAAACCCATGTGAAAATTATAGACAATCCTGTGTACTTTTAAGACTGTAAAGTAACCTTGTGCCAATATATACCAACAACTTTTATTATTATTTAATGTCATGCCAAAAATGGCAAAAAATTTTGCAACCTCACACCAGAGTCCATGGAATGCACCCTGGCCCAGGGGGAATCTACCTGCACCAACAGTTTTGACTTCAGGAATTGTGACCCATTTCCTCAAAACGTTAAGACTATCCACAACAAAGTAATCTTTTCTACTGCACTAATTTGTGTGCCAATAGCCATGCACTGAGTATTATTTGGCACACAGACTTTCCATTCCATTCTGACCAGGAGATGTGAAATTTTAACTTAAATTGTCACCTGATATGAGCTGGCCTAGCAAAGCAAACTTGAAAGTCAACTTGCTTAGCCACAATACAAACAACAGTTACAAGTATTATATAGCCAAAAATGGCAATAATTTAAGTAATAAGATTAATATATAACTATCATAAAGTACATAGTTAATAATTAAAATCAAAATAAGATTGATATAATTAGATTGACAAATGTACAAAATTATGAAAAGATCTACTAAATAGTAATTTTCACAATTTTAAAGCTCAATATTTATACTGTATATTCATCCAAATGCAGTCAAGTTTTGTGCACATACTAATGCTGAACTGCTCGTTCCTGTGGTTGAGTTCATTTCTGAATCATAATTTTGTTGCTTTTTACACTCTATCCCAGCCCCCTGATCAACTCCGGAATTGCTAATTTATTTAGGTCAATGATTGTCTGGTATGGAAAAGAGTACATCACGATCCTTGCTCCTTTATAAAGTTTTTACCCTATTAAGGTGTAAAAAAAATACCGGTTTCATATTGCGAAAAAATTAGGGTCGGTAGGTCGGAAATAATTTTTTTTTGAATATTTTTTTCATGTTTTTTTTCAATAATTAGTGTGACAACAGATGCCATTTTGGCGGCATGGTCAATCGTGTTGAAAAAATAATAGGGTCGGCAGAAAAAAATAGGGTCGGTCGGGAACTGGAACCACAGGTATTTTTTTACGCCTAATCCTTACTATAATTTTCAGTACTTTTCGTTTTATAGGATTCTGTACAAACACCCACTACAATTGGAAGTAGCGGTAAGAGAACATAATAATTACACTACAGAAGAATTATTTTCAGAACTTAAAGTAATTTTTTTTAAACTGAGAGTATGTACGTGGGGTTGGGGTTGGGGTGGGATGGGGTTATTGGATGCCAGTTAATTTCATAGCCGAGGGGATGAAGAGTATAATATCTATTCATTAATAAAAAAGAACAATTTCATTCATTACAAATCCAATTTCAATTGGTAGTCGCTTAATGTTTAGTTTATATGAGCATAAAATAATGTATAATATGTATATGAGCATAAACTACAGTAGAAGCATTGACTAACATTGAGTATTAAAAGATGATATAATAGTATATTTAGTAAATGGTTAATTAGTGGCTCAAGCACAGTTAAAATTAAGGTTTATGTAAGGGAGGTATACTGTAGATGACAACTTGACATAATTAATATTGGGGGAGGGGATACGTATGCTGATAACAATTGATGACAAAGGGAGGATGGAGGTAAAGAAATCCTGAATCTGATGACTTAATAATGTAGAATGGCCCTCAAAACTGACTTAAAATTCCAATTTAACGTTTATTATTCTCATTGTTCTATAGATATTAGAATTTCTGATGATTATAATGCTGTTCTAATGTCAAGAATATCTCATATATCCTATAGGGTAAATTTCAACTTTCCTGCAAGAAATGCATCACTTTTGCCCTGCATGTTCCACTTTATGTAGCAATTGCACGTTTCAGTTGGTTATTTAGAGTTTTGGTGAATTTTAGTGTGCAGCTTTATACCCAAAAGCTGATTTAGAGAACAAAGCTTTAATTGCACTGGGTCAGGTGAATGGAACTGTTACAGTTAAAACGTAAGTAGATGTAATGTTAATTGAAATTTGGTGATATAGTTAAATAACTTGATTTCATATTTGAGAAATTTTGCAAATAATTTTCTCGCCATCGTCGTCCTGTCGTTACTCTCGTCCTTGTCTTCATATAATCATTGTTCTTCTCGTCCTCATCTCTTTATCATTTGTACTCTTCGTTGTCGTCATTTTTCTTCATATTATATATGTTTTCTCGTTTTTGTTATCCTCTCATTCTTGTTCACTTTGTTTTGGATTGATAGTGTCCTTGCCTTGGTCTTGTCAATGTTGTCAACGTGATTCTTGTTATCCTTGCTTCCTGCATTATCTCCGTCGTCGTTATGTCTGATCAGTAGTATTTGTCGTCACTGTTGTATTGAGAGTTATCCCCCTCGTCTTCGTGAACCTAACAACGGGATATGATCTTCAAAAACACGTAATCCCCATATACAATCTCATCCACCTTTTCTTGTCTGTCTTCCTTTTCGCGTCTTTTTCATCATCATCCTCTTCTCCGTCTTTTCCTTGGCCTTTTGTCGTGGTCGTCCTCTTACTTTTTTTCGTATTTCATCGTTGTCCTTCATTGACCTCCTTCCTCTGTGCATATCAATTTCTTTTGCCTTGTTATCCTCTTCCTTCTTTACTTAGTCGTTGTCCTTTTCGTTGTCCTCTTTCCGTTGTCATTGTGCACGTCATCAGATCGTGATCTTTGCCCTACTTAATTGTTCTGGCTGTCACTCTCCTTGTCCTTACCGCACGTTGTTCTTATCATCATTTGTAGTCTCGCTCTGTCTATGTCGCCTTCGTCGCCCTCATTGTCTCTGACGTCCTCCTCGTCTTCCTTTTCCTTCATCTTTATCGTTTGTTGTCGAAGTCCTGATAGTTTTCTCCTTCCTTTTGTAATCCTTCTATCGTCGCGGTATTGGTTGGTGTTTTCCTTGTTTACGTAAATTATTGTTTTAGCATAGACTAATGTAGCGTAATACATGTTACATAATAACTACAGTGAAACACGCAATTTGATTGGTCAATAGCCGTGCAGGATCAGGCTGTCCTGCACGAGGAATTAAAATGCCTTCACGGGATTTTCGCGGGATTCTCAAAATGTCATTGTTTCACTGTAGTTATTTTATAAAACAATTACCAAATGGTTTTCCAAGCAGGATAGCGTGATCCATGCACTTGGGATGTTGCTCAACTTTCGGAAAGCGTAAAAATACAGTACATTCGCCTAGCTGCGGCTCGAATACTGTATTTTTACGCTTTCCGAAAGTCGCGCGACATCCCTCGTGCATGGATTGCGTGATCGGTCTTCCTTTACTGATCGTGGTTGCTTTTCATCAACAGCCCTGTCGTTCGTTAAATCGTACACACAAAATTTTTGCACATCTGGTTTTTGTTTAGGTTTGATCAAACAAATTTCGGACCTTTGGAAACTGAACGGGAATTTGGTAGGTGCATTTCTTGCGTGATAACTATTACAGTATACTATAACCTTCGGGATGTTAACTCATTAAGTCTCATTGCGCCCCCATGCGCCCTGGAATTGGGAACGGGGTAAGTCTCATTGCGCCCTCATGCGCCCTGGATGACACGTCAACTTCCGGGCACGATTGTCTAGCGCGTATTTATCGG